TAGCACACTGTTCAATCTGAACACGCAGTTCACAACGCAGTTTTTGCTCAATTTGAACACGCAGTTCATAACGCAGTTTTTGCTCAATCTGAACACGCAGTTCATAACGCAGTTTTTGCTCAATCTGAAAACGCAGTTCATAATGCAGTTTTTGCTCAATTTGAACACAGAGTTCATAACGTCAATAGGCTTCAAAACTCAAGGCTAGGCATGGGTATTACACTACAAGTATGCATGGAAAGCATCATTCGACCAAGAGGCCTCAAAATAGAGCTAAGGCAGCCTAAAAGATGAACAAAATCAGTTTGAAGTATGGCCAAAATATGCTAGAATCAATGGCCAAAACAACATGCAATGTAAGCTAGTGAGCATGGTTTACACTACAAGCATGTGAAGCATTCAAGAGGCCACTAAACTAGCCAAATAAAGAGCTATGATATTCCAAAGAATGACCAAAAACCCACTGAAACATGACCAATACATGCAAGAATGACATGCTCCTTTGATAGGCTATGAAGAGGATTATTCTACACATGCAAGAGGCAAACATGAGGTGACCAAACCAGCCCTAGACAGAGTCTAGGAAGGTCCTAAAAGTCACTAAAAATGGCCTAAACCAAGGCTAGGAAGTATGAAAATATAGGCTCCTTGGAAAGTCCAAATATGCAAACAAACAAGGCCAAAAGAGAGAGGGTCACCCCTCTCTGATTTTGGCCCTCAAAACAGCATGTCAACCACTGAAAATCCACTGGATTTTAGTGGCTAAAATTCCAAGCAAAGGTCAAGACAAAGGCCTTCAGGCATGGCTCAAAACAAAACTAAATGAAGCATGCAAGAGGGTAGATGACCTCCAACAGGAAAATGGCCTGAAACAAACATGAATAATGCTTAAAAATAAAGCTTTTTTCAGCTGACAATAAACCTCAAATAAGCATGCAAATGAGGCTAAGAGAAGGATCAAAATAATGCTTAAAAATGGAGAAAATGAGTTACCCTTGAGCTCAACCAAGACAGCAACTTCTGGACCAAAAACCCAGCTCGTTAACCTCTGAAAATGACCTCCAAGAACCTTGGGTTGATGGTGGAAGTGTTAGGCTATGAGGTGTGGTGCAAAAGGGTCAAGAACAATACACTTCCTAAGCCTAAATTTAGAGACAAAGAGAGAGATATGTGTGTGTGCCTTAACCAAACTCTAAACCCTCACAAAGGAGGGGGAGGCCTTCGTTTATAGACAAAGGAGACCAAAGCTTCTCAAAGAATCCAAAAACCAAGGCCAAATATCCTCCATACACGTGTATGGAGGATGCAGTCTGTGCCTTCCAGCTGGCACAGCTGGCATCCACTCAGTCAGACAAAACAAGAGAAAGCTGGCCGACCAGTTAAGGTGGTTGGCCGACCAGGGCAAGTGCTCTCCTAGATAAAAGGTGGTCGGTGGCTCCATTTGGTGGTCTCCACTTTGAAAGCCAGCTAGTGGTGTGGTGGGAGACCAGCAAATGTGGCCCAAAGACCAAGAAAACCAGCTTCCCGACAAGAAAACCGGCTGGTG